CATAGGTTGCTTTGTTATACCCACTGTTAATACTGTGAGCCTTTCTCTTCATCTCTTTTTCCTTTTTGAGGAAGCCAAAGCAGAGCAATCACGTCACCTAATCAAGGTCTCACAGCAGCTATACAAAGGTAGGGCCTCAAGGTGGCTCCTCTGCCCTAGTGGCCTCTTGTAGAAAAGAGGGAGATGATGTCTCACTAGGGATGTCGTTTTCTGATCCTACCCAACACCAAAAATTAACACTCAAGATCACAGTGGGACTGCCAACACACCCCTTTGCCCTGTCCCCCAGGAGTGACTGTCATCAGGGACAGAATGGGAAGATGCAGAGCTTCTCCAGGCTCCGACTCAGAACTTGCCCAGAACCTGCTCTCCAGGATGGGCTAAGGAGGCCTGTCTACCACCTGCTTATATTCTTCCCTCACCTGGGGCCAAGGCACCTCTGCCTCTGGGAGAGTTTGGGCACCCTGGAGACAGACTCCCCCTTCTCATAGGTATAATCCTCCTTGGACATTCCAATGACTTGCAGCTGACCCCATCATTTTATCATATCCTCATGATGCTCTGGGATATTTATACTAATTAAGGTTCAGAACACTTCCCTATTCTCAGGCTACATTGTTTATATATACATGTGTACATACATATATGTATGTAAAATATATATAACAAAAAATATGCCTTTTAAAGTACACAATTCAGTGATTGATTATATCCACAATGTTGTACAAGCATAACCAATATCTAGTTCCTAAGATTTTTCATCACCTCAAACAGTGCAATGACTCCTCCTCCCCACTCCCTGCAAGACCCTGATAACCACTTATCTGTTTAGGATTAGAAATTAAATACTAAAAAATTGTTTGTTTATCATAACAGAAATTTATTGTCACACTTCCGAAGGCTGGGAGATCAAATTTAGGGTGTTGACCAGACGGTTCATGCTGAAGTCTCTAGGGAAAGATGCCCCAGGGACTTCTTGGCTACAGCATCTATGTGATGCTGCCTTTTCTCTGTCTTTGAGTCTCTTTTCCTCTTTTATGAGGTGTTACACAGATTGGATTAGAACCCACACTACCCATTTTAACTGATCTTAGTATCTTCAAAGACCCTATTTCCAAACAAGATCATGTTCACAGATACCAGGAGTTCAGACTTCAACATATCTTTTTGGAGGACACAGATCAGTCATAACTGTATGCTTTTGCCTATTCTATATATTTAATATAAGTAAGGTCATCAATATTTGTTCTTTTCTCACTGCCGTAGAGTTGATTCGGACTGATAGTGACTCTCCTTGGGTTTCTGAAGCAGTATCTCTACAGAAGTAGATTGCTCAGTCTTCCTTCTGAGGAATGGCTGGTGGGTTTGAGCCGCCAGCCTTCTGGTTAGCAGTCAAATGCCTTAAGCACTACACCACCAGAGTGTAGTGTGACTTATTTCACTTAGCATAATGTTTTCAAAGTTCATCTATCTTGTAGCATTGATCAGAACTCTATTTCTCTTTATGGATGAATAAAATTCCACTGTGTGTATGTA